ATTCATGTTAACCAACTCTTGAACCAGTTGTTTAATTTGTTCATGGCTATTCGATAAAAGTTGATTTGTTGTTTCTTGCTGTATGCGACTGTTTTCATCCATTTGATACCGAAAATCTGTTTGAAATTGCTGCTGATTTAGATGATGGTTATTGTTATTTTTTATTTGATCAAAGTTTGAACAGGGGATGGGTCGCAAAACTCCTGAAAATTCTTCTTGTTGACCATAATTGCTGGCTGCTTGCTGATAATCCGGCGCAGTCAAATATCCAGGTTTTTGTTCCTTTTGATGAAGTTGACAATCACAATTTATTACCACTTCTGATGTATTAATGTCAAAAGGTTGACGCCGCTGTTGACATTTAAAAGATAAATCTTGATCTTGCTGCTGTTGGCAATTGTTTACTAATAGTCTTCGTTGATAATCACTACTTTCCATTTGAGGAAAGAAATTTTGTGGGTTTTGTTGATATTGTTTCCTTGAACTTGTTGTTGATTTGTCAACGTGTGCGCACGGTTCAGTTTGTTGTTTCTTTTTTTGCTGAGTTTGTTGCTCCTCTTCGATTTGTATAACTTTGTCGATCAAATCCGAAATTATCGTCTGTGATATTTTATTCTTCGTTTCCATGTATTGGCTAGCCGTATCTGATTTTTCGCTCGTTGGCGTTTGGGTATTTTGTGACTGGAGGAATGCTAGATGTCCCGTGCAAGGACATTGGGCCGTTGTTTGCAATATAAATTCTTTTAGCTTTGTATCTTCTTTGTCTAGTGACATGGGCGATAATGATGTGAAGTTTTGGAAATCGATCCAAGAACATCTAGAGTCTGTCGGTAAATTTTGCACCGTGAAGGCGGCAGGTATATAACGAGTAGAGTAGTAGCGTAGATCAGTTGTTGACGTTTTCCCATTTCTGTGGAACTGATAAAAAAACATTATTCATTTTCCATAGGGTAAGTTATAGTACAAGTCCAAAAATTGAAAATGACATTATAAATGTATGTATTTTTGTGTATGTGAATATGTATGAATACAATTTTTAACTTCCCGTAGGGTAGTTATAGTAATGGGCCGAAAATCGAAAATGAAAATTTTTGCATTTCTTCTCTCAGTTAAAGCAGTACGATTGTTTTGAAATCAGAATTTCCAAAATATGTCAAAATAAAGAAAACATTTTTTTTCAATAAAATTTTTTTTCCAAAAAAAGTAATTTTGTGTCTATTGTGTATAGTTTCTCAAAAATCTAACATTTTTTAAGTAAAACTTTTTCAAAAATGATAATCGTTTTTAAAAAAATAATAATTTTTGATACAGGAAGTTCCAGCAATTTGCCTTAAGGCACAATGCCATGCGCCCCACTAGTTTAATTTCCCTGCACGCAACGTCTTGAGAAGAATACAAGAGAGAAACACGTTGTTATAAGCAAAATAGTCATTGCCCCTGATACTCAGAAAAAACCACACAAGCAAGCGAGCGAGCGAGTATGAGAGAAACGTTCTCACAGCCACTATTATACCTAGAGTGCGCGTGGGCTCCTGATAATTGAAAAAATCGAAAAATTTGCGAAGTCCAAAATGCATATAATAATAATGTATGTTATTGAAGTTATTTATCATTTTGAAACGCTTAAAAGTGTTTATAATATACTTGTACTGAAAAATGTTTATAGTATAGTTTATAATATAGAGGTATTTTGAAAAATTTCATACTAGGTAAAAGATCTCTTGATTTAGAATATTTCGCCTGAAAACATCAATGTTCTATGATGAATCGTTCAAAAGTTATGAGCGCTTAAAGATTTCATGAGTAAAAAATGGACGAAAAATTTGTTAGTTTTTTTAATTTTTCACAGACTTCCCGGGCACGTAGAAGCTTCAATTAAACGTCAGGCGAATTGTCTTGTGGGCTAGAATAACGCGAAAAAAACTGCATTTTAATATTCTCAACGGTTGCCGAATAAATTCGAAAAAACTGAAATTATAGCATGATGCTAGGGTCACGTATTGTATTCCGATTTTGGATGAAAATTTTTTGTTTCCGATTTTGATGATTTTCACAATGTTGATACCTTATGACATAAGGAAAATGCTATTAAAAAATTTCGGTCGCACTTCAAATAGTTTTCGAGAAAAACGCATTTTTAATATTTGACAAGGAGCGATTGGTTTTTAGCGAATATCTCGGGAACGGTTGGAGTTATCATAAAAATTTTTGCACCTGCAGATGCATATTTTAAATGCGCATATTTCATTCATACACACCATGACCCTAAGTTGAATATTTTCCGAGATATAGGCGTTTAACTATTTCAAACTTGAAAATTTGAAACCGTTTTTGGCGTATATCTCGCGAACGGTAAGAGGTATCTTAAAACATTTTAAACTGGGTTAAAGATCTTTTGATTTAGAATATTTCGCCTGAAAACATCAATGTTCTATGATGAATCGTTCAAAAGTTATGAGCGCTTAAAAATTTCATGAGTAAAAAATGCCCAAAAAATGGACGAAAAATTTGTTAGTTTTTTTAATTTTTCACAGACTTCCCGGGCACGTAGAAGCTTCAATTAAACGTCAGGCGAATTGTCTTGTGGGCTAGAATAACGCGAAAAAAACTGCATTTTAATATTCTCAACGGTTGCCGAATAAATTCGAAAAAACTGAAATTATAGCATGATGCTAGGGTCACGTATTGTATTCCGATTTTGGATGAAAATTTTTTGTTTCCGATTTTGATGATTTTCACAATGTTGATACCTTATGACATAAGGAAAATGCTATTAAAAAAATTCGGTCGCACTTCAAATAGTTTTCGAGAAAAACGCATTTTTAATATTTGACAAGGAGCGATTGGTTTTTAGCGAATATCTCGGGAACGGTTGGAGTTATCATAAAAATTTTTGCACCTGCAGATACATATTTTAAATGCGCATATTTCATTCATACACACCATGACCCTATGTTGAATATTTTCCGAGATATAGGCGTTTAACTATTTCAAACTTGAAAATTTGAAACCGTTTTTGGCGTATATCTCGCGAACGGTAAGAGGTATCTTAAAACTTTTTTAATTTAATTCGAGGGCTAAAATCTTGGGTGTGGCCGGAAGCCAATTTTTCAGACACCTGATCATCACCTTCTAAAATTAAAATTTTATAACTTTTTTTTATATATTCAAAACATTAATTTATAACTTGTAAATAAAATATGTAGAAAATGTTATTTTACTTTTTGTGAGGCCTTTTAAAATACCCCTTAGCACATGTTCAATACATACCATAATGTTACGAATTATTTATACAATCTTATAATACAATTTACAAGTACAATTTCATATGTGATTAGGATACACAACGTACACACAATTTTCTCTTTAACAAAACTATAATTATCTTCTCAATTTCGATGCAATAATTAAAATGATTATGTAATCCAAAAAATTTTAGTACCTTCAGTTGATATTGTTGCGTTCGCATGATTCTATCCTGCTCCAATTTGTAGCGTATTGCTTCTGCTTCAAATGCCAGCTGCTGTTGAAGTTGCTGATTTTGAACCGGATTTATCATCATACTCGGTTGAAATTGTTGGTTGAGCATTTGGTTTGGGTTCATAACATTGCCGTGCATCCTAAGAGTAAAATTAAATCAACGTTCCCGACGGTTGTTTATGAAATCTTTACTTACCCAGCGAAATTATTGCTCCCCATTGAAGTTTGCTGGTTGTTGTAGCCGGGAGTCAGTGGGCAAGCTGGTCCAAATTGTGGCACGTTCATATTCATGTGCTGCAAATTTGGATAATTACCAGGTTGAGTGCAACTCACGTTGTTAATATTAGAAAATGCATTGTTCGGTATGTTTCCTCCCTGCTGATTTTGAAGCTGGCTGAAGTGCTGAGGCTGGACGAACTGCTGAGGAGTGTTACCTTGTTGTGGTTGACTGTAATGCGCAGGCTGATTGAATTGCTGGCTCTGGTTAAAATGATTGGGAAACTCAAAATGTGGATGTGATCCAAATTGCGGTTGCGTTGGGCCGATATTACCGAGATGTCCAGGATACTGATTGCTCAGGTATTGATTTATAGAATTTAATAATGGATTTTGATTTGGAACGGAATATCTATTTGGTGGATTATTAGTGTTGCAACAACAATTCACAGTAGGTTCGCAGATTATAACTCTACTTCTAGAATGAACAACAGGCCTACGGATGGTCTCATCCCAAGTAACTTGGTACTTATTTGCCACGTCTGCATGAAAAGGACTGTAATTGTTTGCAATCGGTGTATTTGGTTGATTTATACTCTGTAAATTTTGAGTCATATAATTCGGCGGATTTGGTCCTGAACAATTATTGATATTCATTTTTTGACTCCTTTCTGTGTTGCCTTCGGAACTTTTTACAAAATTACTATAGTTTGATAATTTGTTAAATATATCAAATTTTATGTTATTATAAAAGTGATTTTATAGGTTTGTTTTTAATAACATCGATATTTATTGACTCGTACATAAGTATTATTTATAAAAATTTAGTTAGTTAACTATTTACTTCCTTGTTTATGCCTTCATCTTGTAAACCTTTCGTATGTATTTTAAAATTTATTGCTATATTATTAGTTTAATATATTCTATATTTGATGCATTTTTTCTATTAGTTTTGTCAGTTTTTTTTTAATTTTATATTAAAATTATCACGGCATATTTTTCTTCTTTTTTTTTTTTTATTTATTTTTAACGAATAACTTTATTGACGTTTTGCAAAAAAATAAAATTAACAAGCTGACTAGATGCATTTGAATTTTTATATATAAAACTTGTATTGATTGATTTAAAATATTACTAAAGAAAATAATTTGACTTTGGAGACTCGGATATTGAAAATACTGATATTATATAAGAAAATTATAGAATTCACTTGATTTTTTAAGAATTTTCAATGCTTTTTGAACATTTTTGAAACCATTTGAAAAATGTCAATATTCAAAATTTTGAGAAATGTTTTTTTGCAGAGTGAAGAGAATATAAGTAAAGAGGAGGAAAATATTTTTATGCAGAATTTTCTATTTTTAAAATTAGAAATTTATGATGTATTTTTTGTATAATATCGTTATTATTTAATTAATAAACTTTGTATGCTGTAAATAGTAAATTAAAAATTTACTATTAACGTTTTATAGGAAATTATATTTCTATACTTCAATACATATTAAATTTTTGCATACATATTATAT